ACGACCGTGTGCAAAATTTGGGCTTAATCGGACGTGATTTGAAGTGGTGCCTGAATTGATTTAGTGTTAACTCGAAAAAAATTGTGTTGTCTTAATTTAACTTGTGAACAACGGCTAATATTCTCTAACTAACTCAATATCCTCCATTTTCAATACTTTTACGGTGATATTTAACCTATACAGGGTGTTTGGTTCCAGGTTTAATATTCTGTTAGGGTAGATAGGGCTTCCAAAGTTATGAAATAATCCCCATGAAGCATAAGGTCGGAAAAGACTGTTAAGGTTCTATGTTTTTTTCTCATATCCAACTTTGGTTTGCTATATTTTATCAATCTTAATGTGTTTTTTTCTGATTTAAACACACCAAATGAAAGATTGATGTTTTATTTATCAAAGCTTCATGAAGAGAAACTCGATTAATATTATTTATAATACATCAAAATTGAAAAGAATATTTAAAGTTCTAAAAAACTGGTCAAAATACGTACATTTTTGTGTTTTTAAGTAGAAAATTTTCATCACAGTTAATTTATTTGTTCTACAAAACATTCTCCATGCAGTTTTCTAGATTTGTGTTTTTGGTAGTAACCTTGTAGATTTTATAGTTTCTTCATAATTATTGATTTAAAACACCCATGAACAGTTTACTGGAAACGCCTTATGGGCACCCTATTCATTCGGTTATTGGCGCATGGTGCATTGGAATGTGCTAGATTATTATTGTAAATGCTGAGATACATTCTTAATTTTTGTTTACCGCACATCATCTGCGCCGAAAGAAAATGTTACTGCGGAGATGTTTTGCGGTGTTGAATATTTTTCAGTTTCAGTAGAACACACGAGAGACACCGAATCGGCGAATCCTGAGATCAGAAGGGAGAAAAGTAGGTAGTGGTTATAAGTCGATATCGGTTTGCTGCGGTGCTATTTAGATGGAGGGCTCAGCCCGAAATGGAAAATGACAGGTGAGCAGGAACTGATGGTCTCCATTGTTGGTGAGTTCTTTGCCGTTAATGTTCTCGAACAGTTCACTTTTTTGCTATACAGAAATTCAAAACAAAACATTTTATGGGCGGATTTTGACAGTTTTTGACCTGTTTCATATGACCGGTAGGTGTATGCTGGTTACAAATGCCGTACCAAACTGATTTCCTACGCAATTAATCTACCTTTGATGTGAATTTCGCTAATAAACACGAGAAGAATTTCTTATAGCAAAACTTGCCATAACAAAATGGGCACTTCATTTTAGTAAACAAACTAATACTTCTTCCTTGTGTGTCACTTTTCATTCAGCTCTTAGGGGCTGGCTAAACTCGCAGGACAAGAGTGTTTTAAAACATCCAGTGAATTTGAGGAGTTTCAGCAAACCTGCTTCTGCATGCTGCTGTGAAGAGGCTAGCACCCGCGCCTTTTATGTCGTAATGAGCTGTGGTTCGAATTGGCAAGGGAAGGGTCTACAGGCTAGTGAATGCCATCAACCGTTTCTCATAATTAAATAATACATTATTTAATTATTTCTGTTCACAAAAATTGTCTCATAATGCAGATAACTGTTTTATATCTGAGTCCTCATAATGCATCAAAGTAGCATACATGTTTAATGGTTCATTACAACACCGAACACTACTAGGACAAACGCGATCATTCTGAATGAATCTTGTTTCCGATTACTAAAAAAATGAGAGGCAGAAATAGACATTGTTTTTAAAAACGAGATCTGTAATTTTGAATTCTGCGGCAGATTCGATGACATGAAAACTTCAGAAAAAAAAATAAGTGAAGAGAGGGAAGCCAAAACGAATTTCCAAAAAAAAAAAAGTAATTTTATGCTGATGGGTTAACTTTTTGTAATTCAATTCAATGCTTTTCTGTAATTATGACCAAAAATTGGAGAAATACTTGATTATTTCTTTAAATTTGCGTGGGTAAATTTTTCGATTTTCTTTCTCTATGATAAACTTAGATAACAAATGTACAATTTTTTTCCATTAGTTTTTTTTTAACCAATTGCATCAAACTTTGATTTTATTTAATAACTTAAGAGGAAAAATACGACCGCACAAATTTTTGAGTTAGATGCATACAGCCTAAAGCAGCAAGCCACCACGATGTTTGTGTATAGGGAAAGTCCCCATAGCTGATAGAATTTCTGGGTTACATGGATTGACTTTGAAGTACAAGATATTTATGAAATAAGCCATTGCTTACATTTCTGACACTGGCCCATATGAAGGCTCAGTGTCGAATAACGAAAATTTTATTTTGACAGATCGATGTCCAACTACATATACGACTTATACCACTGAGGAAACTCAAAAAAGGGCTCAACTTTTAGTCAGCAGTTTTGCATGAAGTTTCACATATGTTATGTGGTTTATGGGAATGTTTTGTTATGTCTTTTCTCGATTCCGATCAAGCTATGTCCTCATCCATGTATATTGCAACAAAGCAGGCAAGCAATATATCATTATCCTTCTACCACTTCGATCGAGCTATGTTACAGAGCGAGTTTGTCATGGTAGTCGTAGCAACCGCTTTTTCTGTATCGTTGGTTGCTTTATGTGTTTGGATTCGCTGATTCCGATCATTCCCGAGCAAGAGAAAATACCTTAAAATAATACCTCAAAAATGTTATACGAATAACGAACTAATAATTAATTTAGTTTTTGACGGATAACAGTCGCTTTTTTATGCCAGAATACCATAACTTACTATTTAAAAGGTCTTCTAATACCAATACAATTACTCTTTGTGGTGTTATTGTCTAAAGACTGAAAGATCACATTTTGTTATTTTGATATTTATTTAATATTTTACAAAATATTTCGATGAGTGAATAGGATCAAAACAAGGTTTTATACCACAATCATACCAAAATAAGGTATCATAACACATTAAGATATTCATATGTTATAGGATAGTTATCCGTTTCTGCTCGGGTTAGCAAGCGATCAAACGTATCACAATTTCTGGAAGAGCTCAAAATTTTCTCCAATCACCTTAAATAAATTTAAGTTTTCTTTTTAACAATTTAAATAATTGAAGATGCTAATTTCAAATAACAGACTGTAGTGGTAATTTTTATACGATAGATGGAGTAGATGAAAGCATAGAGTTGATAGTTCCGTTAGAGTACGGCAGTGTGAAGATTGTATATAGATATTAGAATAGCGAGCTAGGACAACTTTTAAGGAAGGTACAATTCATCTACTCCATCTATCGTATAAAAATTACCACTACAGTCTGTTATTTAAAATTAGCATCTTCAACTATGTAAATCGTTGACTTCACGTAGAAGTAATACTAAAAAACATATAGTCAAAGTAATTTAAATAAATTAAATATGGATGGGTTAACAACAGATTATTCTGATATTTTGTATTTGGAGATAAAATATACCTGGGTATCCGAAGAAATATTATAAAAATAAATAAATAACGACAAGCTTTGCCCACTGTGAAATGTCGCAGTACATAAAACAGTATTTCTAGGTGCATAGCAGCTAATTGATCACATATATGTATAGTGCTTGCCTCGATAATAATCAATAACTACCATAATACTTAATAATTTTGTTCGGACACTAAATTTCTGATTAAACATTGAATTCACATTGCAACATAATAACTAATTTTGATGAAAATTTACGACAATATACGATCTTCATGAATTTACAAGGCATTTTAATAATATTTTGTCTTGATAATCAAATTTTTGAAGAGTGTGGATTTAAAGACTAATTGTTCGGATTTCGGTGCAATACGGTATTTAATTCACCGTTTTTCTGGAAAAGATCTTCAGAGAGGAATGATTTACGTTTAAAGAAATTGACCATGTAGATTTTCTGATAGTGAATTTAGAATCAGATTAAGTTCAATCAATTCAACTAAAAATGAACGATTCGACTGATGGACAAGGATTTATATCATTTTAGTGTAGTGCTTCAACTGCCTCAAGTTTGGCCGCACTCTATGATTAATCATGACATGAGTACTGAAAGTAGAGCAAGGAAGCAGAGGAAAAATCGATCGTAAATTTATCGCCTCATTAAGCATTCTATCGGATACGATTTATGATTGCTCCATCTACGCTACAGAAACCAGATCTATATGCATACGCAACGCAATGAGCCATATCGCAAATGTTCACAGCCGCTTCTCAGTGGAAGGTGTTTTTATTGCGTTCCTCCACATCGTTCAGCTTCATTTTTTTTTTGCTTCATCATATCATGCTACGCTCCTCAATACACTAGCTGAAAATGACTGCACTAAATTTGCTTAGTCGATCGACTGAATCCTTGGCGCAGGAAATGTTTCGAAAAGGTGGATATGTATTTTTTTTTCTGCATACTCATTCTGTTTGCTAACTAAAAAATAATAATAACAGCATTGAACTCACTACAGTTGGACTGTTAGTAAACATCTGATTGAGATGTTTGGAGGAGGAAAAATGTGAAGCATTTCCAGAAGTGAAATTAATTATTCAAATAAGCTTTTTTCATCACGTTATGCTTGTTTAGCTCCCCCTCACGAATTTTTTTTTCAGAAACTGTCTCAGAGAATAAAAGAAATGCTATTACCAGTAACAAAAAATATCAATGAATGGAAATTGCGTTTAATGAACAGAGTAATAAAAATCGCAGGAGACGTTGGAACGAAATTGATTCAAAAGAAAATGGCTTCTTTCTTCCCACCGCTCATTCTATCTTTCAATTTTCCACCTTTCTTTGATTGCTTGACTTCCAATAGGGATCAGGAAAAAAAAAATCCGTTGTCTGGTGCACGTAATGAATATTTTTTTTCATCGTGGTGCCTCACCTCAATCAGAGCCGATGCCACGCAGATGATTATGATGATTCGTCGATGATGAACAGGAAATTGGCACAAAGGAGCGCACCAATAAAAAATATATAATGATTTTCTTCCCCTCCACTCAATTGTAGGTTCATTTCCCTGATGCTGCATGCGCTACAAAAGAATGCAAACAATAACACTTACAATGCACCACGAGCCTCCATTTGTCTTCAATGCTACTGTTGGGAATGAGACTGTTTTCCGCCCGGCAGGTTAAGTATTTTCCATCGTCGTCCACCGTTGGTACGATAGAAAGGACGCTGAGCGATTGATTGCCGGTTTCTGAAAACTGTGGAGCAAAAAAGCATAATGACAATTTAATATTCACGAATTAGGAATGAAAGCTCTTCAATGTCATTTAACATTTAAATCACTTTAAACTAAATAGTAATTAAATTGAAGAGCAAATCAAACATCAACAAAAGTAGCATGTTCTCATTGGCCATGCTTCATTCGTCATTTCCAATTTTTTTTTTGCTATATTAAATTAACATTAGTTCATGATTCATCGTGATTCTTGAAGAAATATGTAAACCCCTCCACTCCCACTCATGGTTAAAAATAATAATTTCTGAAAATTTAATGATTTCTTTAGATATGGTCACTTCAACACTCATTGGTTATTCGTGACATGTCCGAGGATAAGATTATAACTCGTTACTTTTGAGTGAGTGGTAAAGATGTTAACCACTATGCTGGGGCCATCTCCCCTTCCGAAGGAAGACGTGACCAAATATTTTTTCACTTCAGAAAAATTCCAACGACCTGGGCTGGAACTCAGACACACTGGAGTGAGAAAGTGGTCCCACTTACCACTCAATCACCGATGCTGCTACATTTCTGGTTTTATTTTGGTCTCCAAGTCCATTCTTAGCTTTACAAAACACTTCAATGTCTTGAAAAAACCTAAATTTTTACTTGAGCTGAGAAGACATGTAAATTGTTAACATGTACACATTATATCCGGACAGAGTGTGTTGCTACGCCCAAGTAACAATTTTCGTTTTATGAGGGTTCTCTAGAGCAGGCCTGCCCAACGTAGTTTTGCATCCGGCCCGCGGGTGGCTCTATTCTCGTTCATCTTTGTCTTTGTTTTAAATTCTGTAACAGTTTCTAAGATCAATATGCAACGAATTTGAAGAGCAGCCAATTTTTTTAAGTTTGTTATTATATAGCTTATAAGGTATAAATAACAAGTTAAACTTTGAAAATTGCTGCCTAGTAGCACGCTTGTCATAAAACAGTTGCGGAAACATCATTATTACTCATTTCAGTCATAAGCAAGTAGCTGAAACTTATCGTAATGGCAGTGATATCCCTCCATTGTTTTATTTATTTATTTTGGCAATTATTAATGCATGTTAAATGACACAAAAGCAACCTCGTAAAAACTGATAGCTTGTTTATCAATTCACATACTTAAACATTTTCAAATGTTTGGATTCTGGTGGTTCATGTAATTTTAGCATGCTAGGGACAATTTTTTTTTTATTCTGAATTTACAAAATAAAATGTATTTTTTTTATCTTCGCAATTTTATTACTTTTGGCCCAAATCAGATGAAGTGATTGGAAAGATGCAACCACGTATAACCGGTTCCAAATAATAATGAAATTTCTGGCTGATGAATGATAAATGATTGCTGGCCCGCCATCTGTTATTGATTCGGACAAAAACGTTGGGTAGGCCTGTTTTAGACCATGGTATAGTTTTTTTAAGAAAACATTAAAACCACATGATGATTTCACACACATCCAAATATTGGCCTAAAATATATAAAAAAATCCCGAAGACACCATTTACCCAAAACTAATGGTTTAAGTGCATAAATTTGTGTCTTCCTAAATACGACTTTGGGACCATTGTGTATTGTTAATTTTCTTAAAGCTAATATTGGAAAAAAAAAGCTATTCTACATCTAAGAATATCATTTTTTTTCTTTAGAACCTTGAGAAAATATACGTGCACTCTGAACAAAACCGGATGGTAATATTTGGGGTTTTAAAAGTTTTGGTGATACAGAAAAAATACTTTTAAATGCAAATTTTCTTAAGAATCTGAGGAGAAATCTATTTTTTTTTTCATAGATTTTAAATATATAGGGGAAAAGTTGGCTTCGGCAATACCTTAACCTATTATCGTCAGAGGGGTAAACAACGTCCTTGAGAGCTTAACTTTGGCATGTGGATACATTGTGTTTCAGAGCAACTATTGGCCAAATTTGAGTGCTCTAGGACTTTTTTTACCCCCCTGACGATAATAGGTTAAGGTATTGCCGAAGCCAACTTTTCCCCTATCCCCAGTATTTCTTGAAAATTGAAATGTACTTTTTATGATCTGCGCGGAAAGCATCTCGTTAAGACATCCTTTTACCAGGAAATCTAACTGCATCACGTATGACAATGTTTTGAAATGTGTACGCTGAAATTTATTGATAGAAGGAAAATAAAATATGCTCAACGTCGTTGATATCAATTGTGCCAAGAGGGTCACCGTACTTTCATCGCGCTTGCTCCCGCGTGTGAATAAAGAAGAAAAGTTCTAAATTTACGTGTTTCAATGGCCCAAAACAGACCTTTATCTCAAAACAAATGGATCTCCAAAGGAGCCACCAGGGCAGAACAAAAATATGTGTATACGTTGCATAGGACGGTATATTTTCAGCTCAGTTTGTTCCATGCCTGCCAGTTGCTAGCTAGCGGTGTTGTGTATTTCAAGCACGTCGCATATACGGCAGCCATTTTTATTGCATTTCGATGTAGAGCTCTGCCACCGGTACCGACAAAATGCACGGCGGGTAAAAGGCAATTTTAAATTTTTTGCTTGGCGAGCTTTTCTGTAGCCATAAACTGCTCGCTTCACCATCCGGTGCAATTCAAACAAAATTGGATGCTGCGGAGAACAAACTCATTCAATGAATCTCGTTGTTGGGGCAACACCACGCGCCAATCCGGTATGATGATGGCTCAATCTAATAGCATTTCCAGATTCAGAAAATCATTCACACTGCCCAATCACATCATGCTTCCACCGAGTATTGATTGTCAAAACTTTGCACATGGAATCTGTCAGGACGACACCAACAAGCACTAAGGATATCGATCAATATTGGAACAACTTTCTGGCTGACCGACAATAAATTTCTCTCCACATCAAAAAGGATGAGGCTTTTGGATCACACCATATGTACAATAAATGGTTTGGGAAGTACATTTTGCCAGCGGAAATAAATTCCGAAGGAATCTATCCTCACGAGGCAAATGTCAACCGCACACTGTCAGCTTTAAATGAATTCCTATTTAAACGCAAATTTAAATTTCACACTTCAGGCCAGTTCACAGCAGTAAAGCTATGCAGATTCATCCTGCAGTTTGTATGGCGGTAATCGATTTTTATTGCTCTGTTGATTAAAGAGAGTATCACGATTGGGTGTATAGGGATCTCTACGGGAAGGACAAAATAGCGATTCCCGATGGACCTGGTTCATCGATAGGAACGGACTTTTTTTTTGTGAATATGCTACCGGCTGCCGGTAGCGACGGTCGGTCCCAGATCACATAGATCAAAGGGGGAAGCGCACTTTTTTATAGCCGGCCCCATTCGGGTCTTTTATGGAGCTTGGTTATTGATGAACCGAGAGTTTGGTAGGATACATCCGCATCCGCTTCCTGGGTCGTCGTCGCGATTCGGTTCGTAAAATAAATATGCAGATAAAATATTGACATTTGTGTGGTGTTTAATGCTACCGCTAAAAGCTTTGAAAAACAGGCGAAGTTGCCAATGGTTTGGTCTGTACTGAGATAGATTCAATGGTAGTTTGCCATGCACCGATTGCCAAGGTTTGCAATTGGCAAATTGAACAATTTGAAACGATCTGTATGATTCATATCAATAGTTGAACACGGCGACATTATTGAAAGGAGAGTTTTTTTTTCAACGACTAGAACCTATAACTTATTTAACTGTACCAATCTAAAGAATTCTACATTCTATTTTTTTTTACAAGAATGAATTAGGGGAACGGAATTTTAATTTGAATATTTTCAAACGCTGTGTACCTCTGTAACTGTTATAAGGCGATCTATCAACGTATTCTTTGTGAAAATGATAATACAGCTGACGTTTTTAGAAAAGTTTCTTAGCTAAGTTAGGGTAGATGTACGAGTAATGGCTATACGATCCTATTATGGTGTGTTCCAATTATGGCCTATGGGAATTCTATATGCCATAACTAGAACACACCATAATAGGAACGTAAGGCCATAAATGGTACCCTACCCTAGGACTTTAAATTGGAGGATAAAAATAGCTAAAATGGGAACAGCCCCTGCGAAATGGTTAACATCCATACTTCTCACGCCAAAGTTACGAGTTCAAATTTCATCCTGAATAAGTCATGAATGACCAAAGAGTTTTGGCGTTATTAAAAAAAATACAGATAAAAATGCTCTAATTTTTGACGTACCATGGCACAACGATACCTAATTTTATATTATTTTAATGGTTCATGATTAAACAAAAATATCTATTTATGAATTTATAAGATACTAGCTGAGTGTGCCCGGTCTTGCTCGGGATTCAATATTAGCTTGAGTTTATGCGCCGATTTAAAAAAAAGTATGCTATATTGTACGTAGCCCCCCCCCCTATTATCTAAGGGGCTACCCCCTATGATTCTCCTTATACCCCCACACTCGCCCTCACTTGCCTAATTTGGTTCCATTTGCTTGATTAGTTTTCGAGTTATGCAGAAATTTCTGTTTCATTTGTATGGGAGCTCCCCCTTACAGAAGGGGGAGGGGTCTCGAACCATCATAAGAACCTTCCATGGCCCCAAAAACCCCTGTATACAAATTTTCACGCCAATCGGATCAGTAGTTTCCGAGTCTATAAGGGTCAGACAGACAGACAGACAGACAGACAGAAATTCATTTTTATATATATAGATTAATTGTTAAAAATTGATCTTAATCAATTACGTAATTGTGATAGCGGTTGGAAATTGATGATAAATGTCTTATAAGAGAAAATCATGGAAAATGCTGATAAGTAACCATAAATCCAGCGGTGGCGAGGGGGGGGGGGACACCCCTCACCACCCCTCTCCAAAGGGGGAGTTTGGTAAAGAGAGATGAAAAAACCGATTTGTACCTTCCTTAAAAGTTGTTCTAGCTCGCTATTCTAATATCTATATGCAATCTTCACACTCCGTACTCTAATGGAACTATCAACTCTATGCTTTCATTTACTCCATCTATCGTATAAAAATTACCACTACAGTCTGTTATT